TCACTTGCGCGATAAAAGGACAAAAAGTGGCCTATTTTTTTTATGGCATAAGCCGGTAAACGAGCAGACGGATCACCTGATGGTAAGCAATCGGCGTCGCCTATGGACACCAGGAACACCACAGGCGTTACAAGTGCGTTACCAACTTTTTGGGGATTTGTAGGATCGTTGGGGATTCAGGGATTGGTGAAGGGGAAGGTAATTGGGCCTCCGGTAACCTCACTCACACGACGAAAAACACCGCAAGCGTTGCTTCACGTCGGTTTTCTGTGAGGCCGTGGTATCACTCCGGTTGAGCCGGCCAATTCGTGCCGAAGCATGGCTCTCCCACACTTATATGATTCTTATGCCTCTGAAAATTCCCGGAGTTGAGGACCGGGGTGTCAGGTCAAAGCAGGAGTAGGAGCGGCATCAGCCCCGCCTTATATGGCTATTCTTGTCACATTGAGCGTGACGTCATTGAGGTGTCTTTTGTTTTTTTTTGATGTACTTTTCTTTGTTATATATAATTCAATTTTGAATGTTATTCTTTCGACATAAGATTAGGTTTAATTTATAGAAACGGAATCAATAATTTTGTGCACCTATAATCGGCTTTATGAAGTCGTAGAGATAAAAAAAAACATTTTTTTTCTATTTTTTAAACGTTATTCACACTAAGATTTTCTCCTGTGTCGTGGGTACGTTTACAAACATACAAGTTCACATACACATGACACCCAGACACAAAACAACAATCTGTGGATCACACAGTTGTTCCGTGTGGGAATCGAATCCGCGACACGTTGCGCGGCAGCCAGTTGCCCAGCCACCGCGCCAACCGTGCAGTCATTGATTTATCTGTAAATTGTTGCCTGTTATAATATTTTTTGTCCATTATGTTAATTTGGTACATTTATAATAGCTACATACATATTTTTCGAAATTGCCGATACATATTTTATTTTGGTAGTATAATGCCTACTGGAATATTTGAATACTTAAATATATTTTGATTTAAAGGCAAAAGTCAAATCGTTTATTTTAATTACAAAAAAGACACATTTGAATTATTTTGAAAGTCAAACAAATATTTTACCTGACACGTGGATGTCATTCTATTTTTTTTTTTTTTGAATTATTGTCTCGTTAGTGAAGTAGTTGAAAAGCGCGACTGCCGAACAAAGGCTCTCGGATCTAAATCCCTAATTCTTAGAAGCCCGGCAACGCACTTGTAACACCTTCAGTGTTGTGGGTGTCCATGGGCGAGGTCGATTGCTTACCATCAGTGATCCGTCGTTTACTGCCCTATACCATAAGAAAGTAGTTATTATGTTTTCGACTTACTCACGTAACTGTTTGACGAGGAACTCGACTAGTTTCAAGCCATACTAGAGGCTCATATTCATGAGCAGCATTGCGCGACATACGACGCGGCGTCTGTCGACGAAAATCATCGAATGACTGCTGCCGCCTGGGTGACGCGAGAGGGAGTGTCAGACTCTTACTGACTAAAAACCACCCCGTTCCTACTCCTGCACTTCGAGCCATAGCCCCGGTAACCCGTTAAGTCTGCTACCTACTCGATTTTTTTTATAGCATAAGCCGGTAAACGAGCAGACGGATAACCAATCGGCACCGTCCATGGACACCCGAAACACCAAGGCTTTACAAGTGTGTTACCGGCCTTTTGGGAATTAGGAATTTGAGGATTGTGGAGGATTCGGGTATTCGGGAGACTAGGGAGGGGGGTAATTGGGCCTCCAGTAACCTCAATGTGATAAGATTGTTAATTTAAAATTGTTAGGTCGAGGTTAAAGATAATGCCAAATAAAATAACTTCCTAAGATCCGCAATTAATTTAATACATAAAATATCAATGTAAATTAGCATAATGTAGAGGTTTATAAATTTAAAAATAAAAATAACCGACCTCGAAAACCAGTTGGTGTTTTAATATTGTGTCTAAAAATAGTCACGGAATTACAATCGTGCGGTCAACTCACACGGTGACGAAACCCGATTTTGCAATTCAACTTTGAAAAATTTTAGGTAGACTCACAGCTCTTCAAGTTCACCTCGCGACTGTATTTAATTCTCAACCTTACGTTAAGCAAATAAGATTCGTCATTGTATAAAATGTGTTTGTAAAATAGGATAGTATGACATGCGGTTGACGTAGTCATTTTAGCATTTCGAAAGGTGGACTTTTTCTGCATTTTGATTGGCTGCTCTAAGTCTAGAATACGCCTCGAACCGCCCAATGAGAGAAGATGCATTCATCATGCGATTAATTCAATTATATTTTTGACCAATACTATTTTGAAATGTATATGACGTTCTATTAGATACGTGAATAATTTGGTCATTATTAAAATAAATCTTTAAATTCATTTGTTTTTAGTACATACTATTACACATTACGTATCTATGTATACCTACCTAATGAATAATGGACTGATTGTAGTCTAGTCTTGTGCTATTAGCAAGAGGTCTCGGGTTCAAATCACAATTCACAGGTCAGGCACGCGATTTACGAGACTTATTTTTTCTTTATCTTTTTTTTTAAAAACGTTGCCCCACATTAGGATTTTCTCCAGTGTACGACACTGGAGATTTTCTCCAGTGTGACACCCAGACCCGAAACAACAATTTGTGGAGCACACAAAGTGTTGTTCCGTGGGGGAATCGAACCCGCGACGCGTTGCACGGGAGCCGGTAACCCAGCCACCGCACCAACCGTGCAGTCTTATTTGAGGTGGGAAAATCATTAAATGCCTCCCTAGGTGAGACGAGAGTATGTCCTGAGAGGCTCCTGCTCCACGCTCCTTTTGAAGTTCCAAGTAAAAGTGGGTCTGCTGACGGTGATCAAGGGTAGCTCGCCACCCGACCAGAACCAGACCCGAGTATACGGCGCGTCCCGTACCGCGAGCGCCTTAAAGAGCCATCAGACCACAGATGGGCCCCAGATGATGCCGATATGGAGCCGCGAAAGTTCTAACGGGTTGCCGCCGTTGCCGGGGCTCCGGCTCGAAGAGCAGGAGTAGGAACAGGGCGGTTTTTAGTCAGTAAGAGTCTGACACTCCCTCTCGCCTAAGTCAAGGCGAAAGAAGTCATTGAATGATGTTCCCCCTTAAAAAAAAGACCACCGCCGATGGGGCCCAGTAGGACTGATGCCGATACAGAGCCGCGGAAGGCCTAACGGATTGCCGGGGCTCCGGCTTGACGTGTAGGAGTAGGAACGGGGTGGTTTTTAGTCAGTAAGAGTCTGACACTCCCTCGCGCCTAAGCCAAGATGGGAGAAGTCATTGAATGATGTATTTTTTGAGGGGGCTCAAAAAAGACTCCAAAAAGTAACTATATTTTAAAGAGTCGATTACATCAAGGTCTGTCTCGACAGGTGGCTCAATGTTGACATTAAATGTTAACCTCTGAACTATTGCAAATTTTGCATTCGCGATAAACATATTTTTGTATAAATTAATAATGAGAGTATTCGAAATTTGCCTTTGGCGATAAGGTGACATCAAATAGTTCAATAACGAATTTTTGCATCGCAAGAACTTGCGAATTGATTCGCATCGCGCACCAATATCTTACCTTCCCAAAATCTTCTTTGTCTCTTTTTCCTGTATCTCCTAAGCAATAACAAAAGTGCACACTTCTTTTAACGATCCATGTCACGAACTAGTTTTCAATTTAAAATACGTTTAGTGCGGTTGACGGTCATCGAAGAAATGGTCACCCTAAGAGACGCTTTGTCGCACGAAATCGCATCGCAGCAATTCGCATCGTATTTTTTTGCGTTGCGAATTCGCATCGCAGTTTTCTGTACGAACCCTTACCTACTCAATTAATCTTCTTGCATACATATTGCTGGGAGTTGGGACCATGGAGAAGGAGATGGGAATCAGTCATTCACTTATTTATACACTCAGGAGCAAAGAATCGGAACCACTAACGTTTTTATTTATTTAGTGTTATCGATCCCTCTACAACTTTAATAAAAAAATCTTTATATAAAGTACGTTTAAAAAACCGACTTCTACCCCCTCCCCCTTTTATGAAGTCGGTTAATTAATCTACTAAAATATTATTCTGATAACAGCAAAAAAATCGGTTCGTGAAAATTGCGCAAAAACACACATACTTACATGTCACACTGAGAGAACCTACTTTTTATGAAAAAAATCCTTTTGTAACTCTAATTCGCCTTAATTAAAAGTCGCCCAATTGGTAACGCATGTCGTATAAAAAGCTTATACGACATACGTTACCAATTGGGCGACTTTCCTTAATCAAAAATAAATTATTTCGACTGTTCAACACAATCAGATATTACAAAATAATCACACTTTCATTAATTGATTTTATGACCAACTTTTTAGTATTTTTCCAGCATTTTTTTGAGAATCTTCAAATTCCCATTTCCCAAAAGGTCGGTAACACACCTGAAAAAAAAATATAAACGATAAACGAGCAGACGGATCACCTGATGGTAAGCAATCGGCGTCGCCCATAGACACCTGGAACACCAGAGGCGTTACAAGTGCATTACCGGCCTTTTGGAATTAGGAATTTGAGGATTGTTGGGGATTCAGGGATCGGGGAAATTTGGCATCCGGTAACCTCACTCACACGACGAAACACAACACATCGTTGTTTCACGTCGGTCTTCTGTGAGGCCGTGGTATCACTCCGGTCGAGCCGGCCCATTCGTGCCGAAGCATGGCTTTCCCACACTTAAAATCTACAGATTTAAAATCCTTTAAATGTAAATAAAAAAAAAATAAAAAAGCCATATATTTCTTACAAAAAATACACAAATAAACTTATTTCTAATCTTATACATCTATTCCTAATCAGTAATTCTAAAATTAACAATTTTATAAAATTTACTATTTATGTAAGAACCTTTGTTCTGAAAGGTGAAGGCCTCCTCTAGAGATTTCCATATATCCCTGTTCTTCGCCGTCTCCATCCACTTTAAATGTACTTATATCTGATTCTTTTGTTTCCAGAACGATTCTGTGATGTGACGCTGTACTGCTCTCCGAGTTTCGCGACACAAGTCGGTGGCAAGGACACCGTCGAGCCACAGAACATAAGGGGAGTCTCTTTAAGAGCTCACAGGTGTGTTAAAACCTTCTATTATCTCTAAATTTCTAACAATAAATGGAAAATAACTCTGGGGAAATGAATGTGCTCCATCGTAGGCCCCATCATCGCTTACCACCGCTGACCAAACGTCGGCCCATCAAATATATATAAAAAATAACATTATTTTATTAATATGTGTCTACCAATCACACGACCATAGGGTCCCGGTCATTTAGTAAGCGTACGAGGGGCTGAAGTCAACCGCGCAGAGGTCCTTTAGACAGCTTTAATCTAAATGTAATGGACACACAAACCGGCGACTATCCCTGTATGCACTATGGAAATGCACCCAAGGACAGTCCCCAGTTAGTGTAGAACTATTGTGAATAATGGAAATAAAGAGGTAGGACTATAGGTTGCTGTGGACTGGTAAATTGTGAACTATTGATGACTTTGGCACCTTATTATTATTAGCTATTCCGGTTTCATCTACTGCTCGAGTCCTATTTATCGTAGCGAGATGGTTTACAGCCTATAGCCTTCCTCGATAAATGAACTATCCAACACAAAAAGAATTATCCTATTCGAACCAGGAGTTCCTGAGATTTAGCGCGCACAAACAAAAAAACCCGGGAAATTAATTACCCAGTTAACTTCACGATCAACTACGTAGACAGACCGTCAAATACTGAAATACTATGTTTTTATAATAACTATCGTGAGATATACAAAATTAAGTAAAATCGCGGGTTACTCACGTGAATATACCGAGACTTTTCTCAGTAAAGAAACTAGTAGAGCTTTCTCAGTTATCCGCTACGGTATCATTGTATGGGGAAACTCTTCGGATATATCACGAGTGTTCATTGTCCAGAAGAGGTGTGTTCGTGCAATGTTTAATGTTGACTGGTGTGATTCATGTAGACCCGCATTCCAATCAAATAGCCTCTTAACGGTTCCCTGTATTTATATTTACGAGATTTCTAAATTTGTGAAAAATAATCCTCAATTTTTTGTGTTTAACAATAATGTAAATAAAAGAAAAGCTACTCATCTAGAATTTCAGTTACCTGTTCCTAGATTAGAGTTATTTAGACGAAGCTGTATTTACATGGGTCCCTTAATATATAACTCTTTACCAAAAACTATCTCCGGACTACCTTCAAATAAATTTAGTGTAATGCTAAGAAAATGGTTATGTCAGCAATGTTTTTACTCAGTTGACGAATTTCTAGCAGAAAACCCATGTAAATTCTACAATTGTGAGCGATCTGTGAGGTATAGACTGTAAACTTATAATTTAGATAAATTGTTAAATGTTCTATTTCTGTGATAAGTATTTGAACTGTATAAAGATTTGCATGTCGCCAAGCGGCAAGATCTATATGGCACCTTGACTATGTTATTATTATCACCATTATGTACCTACATTTTATGCAAATAAAGATTCTATTCTATTCTATTCTCTACTAGTTTCTTTTTACTGAGTGAGAATGAGAGAGAAATGAGAGTGAGAATCAGTGAGCTGCGCGACGTCGCCGCGACCGCGCACGCTGCTCATGAGGAAGAACCCCTCTGTGGTTCGAAACTAGTAGAGCTTTTCTCAGTATATTCACGTGAGTAACCCGCGATTTTACTTAACTGAAAGGCTACTCATTTTAAGTAGTACTTAAATATCGTGCCACCTGTGTCATTTTACAAAGAATACTTAAGCGTGTCTTAACATTGAGTGGCGATTGAGGATTTAATTACGAGCAACAGAGCCTAGTAAAATCAAAGCAATCGCAAATGAAATTAATAAATAACCATCATATGTACAAATATGATAGGTGCAGCGCTGCATGTAGGTCAGTGTGTTATTGAGCTACCGGTAATCAATACACTCCTCCACCTAATAGGATCCCATATATTATTTATTGTGTGTGAAGATTTTAACATGCCAAATTCATTTGTAGATTTGTTTAGTTTCATTTATGGGATTTTTTTTTAAGGGGGAAAATCATCGAATGACTGCTCCCGCCTGGGTGAGGCGGAAGGGAGTGTCAGACTCTTATTGACTAAAAACCACCCCGTTCCTTCTCCTGCACGTCGAGCCGGAGCCCCGGTTACCCGTTAGGTTCTCCGCGACTCCGAATCGGCATCGGCCCTATTGGGCCCCATCTGTGGTGGTCTGATGGCTCTTTGAGGCGCGCGCGGAACGCTACGCGCCGTACGCTCGGGTCTGTTTCTGGTCGGACGGGGAGCCACCCATGCTCGCCGTCCGCAGTCCCGCGCTTACGGTGGCCGGAGATCGTCCCGCGATCCCCGACGCCCGGTGTGTCCTTCGCGACGGCTGGGTTGCGAGGAGGCAGCGCTTCGCTGCCTCACGCGTCCCGCCTCCTCCTTAGCTAGCATGACTGCTTCGCAAAAGGAGGAGACGGCATCCCAGTCCCTTCATTTATGGGATAAGCCGATAAACGAGCTGACATATTACCTGATGATAAGCAATCGGTGTCGCCCATGGACACCCGGAACACCAGAGGCGTTAAAAGTGTGTTTTATTAGGAACTAGCTACTTCCGCGCAGTTTCACACGCTCGGCAAATTCAAATTGAATGAAGGGTGATAAACTTCATCCTTACTAATATTATAAATCGGAAAGTGAGTTTGTTTGTTTGTTCCGCTATCACGCCATAACTACTAAACCGATTGCTTTGAATTTTTGCAGATGTACAGTTAGAAGACCGGATTAAATAATAGGGTACTTTTTATCCCGGAAAAATTTGATATTCCCGAGGGAAAACAAAAGTATTGGTATAGATGGCGCTGTGTGTATTGGTATATGTCACATTGGCTTTTATCCTTTTGTGACGCGAGCGAAGCCGCGGGTAAAAGCTAGTTTACATTTATTTTAATTCCCTGCAGGGTGGTGTTAGCAGCGTGTTCAGAACTCCTTGGTGCGTTGCTGGGAGCTCACGAGGCGCAAGGCGAGCCGGTGCTGGTGATCGATGGCGCCGAGCCACGGCATCTGAAGGCACTGCTCGACTACATGTATACTGGAGAGATGAATGTGCATCATGTAAGTAGATGAGGTTTGCTTCATAATGTTAATAGATGGGGTGTTTGATGGGTGTTTAAAAAATGTAATTAAATGACAAGGGCATGGACAAGAGTCCGTGGAGAATAAGAAATCTAATATAAAAAAAAATGTGGCGGGTGAAAAGATGACTGCCTCGCTGACCGAGGTTTGGGTTTTTCAAAAAAAATCTTATTAGTAGCATGCAGTGTGGAATTGTGCTCGGTATTGATGGCAATAGTTACGTAGTAACTATGTATTAGGTAATCTGTGGCAATAGGCTCACCCCCTATTACATGGGACTCATAACATAAATAGTGAAAAGTGGGTGTTACATCGTACAGTGGCATTAAGTGTTGTAATGTGCACCTCTGCCTACCCTTCCAGGGATAGGGCGTGATGTTATGTTACCTAAATTTTTGGATTGACATTCGTTCTATAGAATTTACATACATACATAACCTCACGCGCGTCTCCCATGGGGGTAGGCAGAGATATGGAACGCCAATTGCTACGATTCATACATACCTCTTTCGCTTCATCAGCAGTTATCAGTATTTTCATGCATGCTCGTCGGTTAAGGGTACTTTTAATTTTTTTATCTATAGAATTTCTATCGAGAAACCCAGATCAATTTACGTTACTGCCAATATTGATAACTAATCTCAATCCTAAAATTATTAGATTAAGGTCGATTTTTGACAAAATTGGTAGGTTGGAGTTTCAGTTAAAATATATTTTTTTAAATGTTGCCTCCACACTACGATTTTCTCCTGTTTCGTGGGTGCGTTTACAAACATACAAGTTCACATACACATGACACACAGACCCGGAACAACAATTTGTAAAACATACAGCTCCGTGCGGGAACCGAAGCTGCTACACATTGCGCGGCAGTGCAGTCGTCGATTTTGTATTGAAATCGGTTATTGAAATTTTAGACAATAGGTAATTTTCAAAAACGTTTCATATATATTTTTCAGTCGCAGTTGGCGAGTTTATTGAAGACAGCTGAGGAGCTCCGCATTAAAGGTCTGACCGACATACGCTGGAACAACAAGGATGAACCGCCTGACTCGGAAGCAGGTACTATATTGGACACTAGCAGCCCGTCCCGGCTTCGCACGGGGTAGACAATTATTTATTTTTGGAAATTTCGATTGTTGTAGTGACATAACTACAATAGTTGGACATATGCTACCGCGGAGCTTTTTGTAGACATTATGATGTTCTTCAATATTGTTGTACATTATTTTGTTCTATCGCTAATAGTTTCGGCAGCGCGTTCGACGAAATAATACATTTTAAAACTCATTTTTCTACACCTTCGGTTAAAATGTTCAAATTTTACCAAGGATCCCTAATTTTTTCAAAATGAAATGTAGCCTATGTGAAATTGGAAGAATGTAGCATTCTATTCGTGAAAGAATTTTTTAAATCGGCCCAGGACTTTTTGAGCCTATTCATTACAAACATACAAAAATAGGTACAAATCTTTCCTCTTTATAATATTAGTATAGATATAGATTTACCTATTGTTAAACCCCACCACTACTTTTCTCCTCGGTTGTGGAAAGAACTGACTTAAGGGATGATTTATTTGACAAAGACTGAGCAAAAAAAGACCAACCGCGGGGGCGGCCAGCCGTGCGGTTAGCCGTTACTGCGTTTTTTTATACGTAAAGATTTCGACTGCCTCATTGGCCGAGTGGTCGCAAGTGCCACGGCTGTCGCAAGTGCCACGGCTGTCGCGATTGCGGCCACTCGACCAACGAGGCAGTCAAAAAATATTTACTAAAATAACTGATCATATTTCTATCTATTCAACAGTGACAACAGCAACGCCAACGGACCCGAAGCCTATAGAAAAAGTGCCCGAACCGAGACCAGTACCCAAGCCCTCACCTAAGGCGACACCCTCTCCTAAGGCGACTCCTGAACCGGAACCCAGGCCCAAGAAAGACGAGACGAGTGATGGAGAGGTTAAAGGGGAAAAATTTAATGTTAATGGTATGTATGTTTGTCTGTTTGTATGCTATCTTGGAAACTGCTGCTATGCTAAAATAACGATAATTACATAACATAACATCGCGCCTTTTATCCCCGAAGGGGTAGGCAGAGGTGTACATTATGCCACTGTACAATGTAACACCCACTTTTCACTATTTATGTTATGAGTCCCATGTAATAGGGGGTGAGCCTATTGCCATTTACCGGGCACAATTCCAGACTCCGTGCCACACTGTGTTTTTTTTTTTTAAAAACCCAGTAATACTTTGCCCGACCCGGGAATCGAACCGGAGACCCCTTGCCCGGCAGTCGCACTTGCGACCACTCGGCCAATGAGACAGGCAATTAACGATAATTAACTCGTCGAGTACCGTCATTATAGACACAATTAAAGAACAATAGGTTGCGGTCACCGGTGACCTCGCGGTGTTTGACAGTATAAAGTATAGAAAATCCATAATGCTGAACAAATTATATATAATATTAATATAATATTATGTTTATATTAGACTTCACGGTTGGTGCGGAACCTGGGCAACTGGGTGCCGCGCAACGTGTAGCGGGTTCGAATCCCGCACGGAACAACTCTTTGTGTGATCCACAAGTTGTTGTTCCGGGTCTGTGTGTCATGTGTATGTGACATTGTATGTTTGTAAACGCACACACGACACAGGAGAAAATCCGAGTGTCGACGTGTGACGTCAATTTTTTTAAACGAAAAAAGTAATACTCTTTTTTTTTTGTTAAAAGGCGGCCGGCAGTGGCACTTGCGACCATTCGGCTAATGAGGCAATCATTAAACTTAAAAATAATAATATTTTATGTTTGTTTGTCCACAGGAGGTCCACCGCCATTAATAAAGTTGCCAGTCAAAGAGAAACTAAGTCCTGCCAAACGAGAACATTCTGATTCGTAAGTAACCTCCTAACTTTTAAGGGAAGCCTATATTAGAGCCATCAGACACCACGGATGGGGCCCAATAGGGCTGTTGCCGATACGGAGTCGCGGAGAACCTAACTTGTTACCGGGGCTCCGGCTCGAAGTGCAGGAGAAGGAACGGGGTGGTTTTAGTCAGTAAGAGTCTGACACTCCCTCCCGCATCACCCAGGCGAGAGTAGTCATTCGATGATTTTCCACCCTTCAAAAAATCCTTACTTCCTTACAATAGCTAACAAACTTCAAGTTCAAACATCACAAATTCGAATCAAGTTAAGCGCGACAAATTCAAATTGAATGAAGGGTGATAAACTTCATCCTTATCCTAACTTCCTAACTAATATTATAAATCGGAAAGTGAGTTTGTTTGTTTGTTTGTTCCACTTTAACGCCGTAACTACTAAACCGATTGCTTTGAATTTTTGCAGACGTAAAGTTAGAAGTCCAGATTAAATAATTAATTAATATACCGGGCACAATTCCAGACTCCGTGCTACTACTGATATTTTTAGAAAAATAATTAATACTTTGCTCTACCCGGGAATCGAACCCGAGACCCCTTGCGGCGCAGTCGCACTTGCGACCGCTCGGCCAACGAGGCAGTCTTTGCATTCTACTCTATACAAATCTTCTCCTGACAGTAAGGAACACATAAAAGACAGAATTATCCAATATAGTAAAGTCGTTCTTGAGTTATGCGCGTACAGACATATCAGGGGTTAATTTTTGTTAATATTTTTTTGTTTTTTTTTTTCAGAGAAAGAACAAGTCCGAAAAGACAGCGAATAGCAAGCGGTACTGAACACACGGACGACGAAATGCCTAGTAATGTACCTAAATCGTAAGTAAATTTCAACCATAATACTGTTGTAATAAAAACTAAAATTAAGTTCAATTATTGTTAGGATCACACACAGCCTATAAGTACCCACTGCTGAGCAAAGCCTCTTCTCACACGGAGAAGGTTTGAGCATTAATCACCACGCTTGCTCATTGCGGGTTGGCGATTACAAACTTATAATTAGAAATTGTAAGGCCAGGTTCCTCGCGATGTTTTCCGTCACCGTTTGTCAGTGGTGTCTAAATAATCTTAGAAAGTATATATAACTAGAAAAAATCACATTGGTACTTGCTGTTGGTAGGTTTCGAACCCGCATGCATGAGAAGCGGGCGTCTTTACCTCCGAGCTACCACGACAGTCCTATTAGGATATGTTGGTTTAAATAAATAAATAAATGAAAAGGGAAATTGACGAATTGAAGATTAAAAATCTTTAAACCTTCAAACACCGCGAGGACACCGGTGACCGCAATCTATTGTTCTTTAACTCGTCGAGTACCGGTTTTATAGACACAATTAAAGAACAATAGGTCGCGGTCACCGGTGACCGCTTGGTGTTTGACAGTTTAATTGTGTCTATAATGACGGCACTCAAAGAGGAGACGGTGCACAAAATACGTCGTCTCAATAACTGCCGAGTTACCGCCATCTTGACTTTTTCATGTCTCGAACCACAGATTAAAATTTCCCGCCTCGCGATGACGTTCCTTTTTTTGTTTATGCTTCTGACAATATATATATTTTTACTTTTCAGAGAAAGAGACAGAGATAAAGATCAAGAATGGCGGTATGGGAATTTAGTAAGTATTCACTTTAAATATTTTATATATTCTACATTTCGGACCAAAGAAACGTTAAAACGTTTTATTTTTAATTTCTTGATAAATACTAGTATTTTATTAATTGGTCACGTATGGCGTATAAAAGAAAGAAAGAAAGAAAATACATTTATTTTTTAAAAGGTAATTTAGTTACCTTTAAAATAAAGCATTGTTTTAAAGGAATATTTATTTTAAAGTCGTAGAGGGTATTTCTGGTTTTTTTTTTCAATTTCTCAGTAGCACCGTGTATGATAATGTGTCCAGTATATGCCAATCTCACCCCCTATTACATGGGACTCATGACATAAATAGTAAATAGTTTTTTTTTCAATTTCTCAGTAGCACGGTGTATGATAATGTGTCCAGTATATGCCAATCTCACCCCCTATTACATGGGACTCATGACATAAATAGTAAATAGTTTTTTTTTTCAATTTCTCAGTAGCACGGTGTATGATAATGTGTCCAGTATATGCCAATCTCACCCCCTATTACATGGGACTCATGACATAAATAGTAAATAGTTTTTTTTTTCAATTTCTCAGTAGCACGGTGTATGATAATGTGTCCAGTATATGCCAATCTCACCCCCTATTACATGGGACTCATGACATAAATAGTGAAAAGTGGGTCCCAAAAGGAGCAAAGAAACGCACCCACTATGCTTTTTTTGTCATTTTATCGAACCTTGTGTAACATAGCATCACGCCTTTTATCCCGGAAGGCGTAGACAGAGGTGCACAATTACGGCACTTAATGCCACTGTACAATGTAACACCCACTTTTCACTATTTATGTTATGAGTCCCATGTAATAGGGGGCGAGCCTATTGCCATATACCGGGCACAATGCCAGACTCTGTGCTACTACTGAGATTTAAAAAAAATACAGTAATACTTTGCCTGGACCCAAGATCCCTTGCCCAGCAGTCGGACTTGTCATCACAGTCATCAGTATTCCCATACATGCTCCTCTAATAAAAGATATGTATAAATTATAATTATTTTTAAATGAACCCTGTTCTATAGCAAGTATATGAACCTCAGGACATCACTGCGGAGAGGGTCGTGGGCTGGGGGATGAGGGCTTCACGGTCTACCTCCAGGGACCCCTCGGACGACGAGTGGGCCGACGCCCCCGCTGATATAGGATCCTTCCTACATACGAAACTGAGGGTCGATGGAGACAATAGTGCTGGTGAGTGTCTTATTATAACTACTAGCGCCCCAATACTGGAAGTCTCATCATCATCAACAGCCTATAGATGCCCACTGCTGAGCAAAGCCTCTTCTCACCTGAAGAAGGTTTGAGCATTAATCACCACGCTTGCTCAATGCGGATTGGTGATTTTAAACTTATAATTAGAAATTATAAGTCCAGGTTTCCTCACGATGTTGTCCTTTACCGTTTGTCAGTGGTGTCCGAATAATCTAGTACATAAAACTCGGAAAAAGTCACATTGGTACTTGCTGTTGGTAGGTTTCGAACCCGCACCCTCATGCATGAGAAGTAGGCGTCTTAAACCTCCGGGCCACCACGACATCAGGACACCACGAATATTGGAAGTGTACTCAATTTTAATACTTAAATATCGTGCCGTCTCTGTCATTTTACAAAGAGTTTGTAGAGACAGAACTATACTTAAGCGCGACGTAAATTGAGTAGCCTTTCAGTATTGACTGCACGGTTGGTGCGGTGGCTGGGGAACCGACTGCCGTGCAACGTGTCACGGGTTCGATTCCCACACGGAACAACATTTTGTGTGATGTATGAAACTTCAATACACTTCCTAACGAATGTACTCACATTTTTAGCGTACGAATCACCTGATGGTAAGCAATCGGCACCGCCCATGGACACCCGCAACACCAGCGGCGTTACAAATGCATTGCTGGCTTTTGGGGTTACGAATTTGAGGATTGGGGTATTAGGGGATTGGGGATGAGGGGGAGGGGGATGGGGGACTCTGTAAACCTTACTCATATGACACAAGCGTTATTTCACGCCGATTTTCTGTGAAGCCGTGCTATCACTTCGGTCAAAAAACCTCTGTTCAAGAAGTGTCAAAATCGAGTAACGCATTAGCACTTTGCTCCGGTATACAATTTCGTATTAAATCTACAAATACTGGAAGTTTCAATATAAATTTTCGTATATTTTATTTCTTCAGACGAGGAATCAAACGAGAGTGTACCGACGCGGCAGTCGGCGGCGGCGTCATCGTCATCATCAGCGGCTGCGTCATCAGTGTCCGCGGCTGAACTCAGAGCTGAACTCGCGAAGGCACAGCTTTCACAACTCAATCGGAGTGCAGGTTCGTACTGGGTAGTGGTCACTGCTGTATATGATTTAGGGGGAAAACAGAGGTGATTGGTTAAATAATGTAATGCTCCTTTTTTTGAGGGGGGCAAATTCTTTGACTTCTCTCGCTCGGGTGAGGCGAGAGGGCGTGTCAGACTCTTACTGACTATAATCCACCCCGTTCCTACTCCTGCACTTCGAGCCGGAGCTTCGGTAACCCGTTAAGTCTTCCACGGCTCCGTATCAGCATCAGCCTTTCTGGTCCCATCTGTGATGGTCTGATGGATTTTTGAAGCGCGCGCGGAACGCAATGTGCCATACGATCGGGTCTGGTTCTGGTCGGGCAACGAGCCACCCAAGTTTGCCATCCGCAGGCCCGTGCTTACGGTGGTCGGAATTCTTCTCGTGCCTCTTGCGACTGGGACGTGAGGAGGTTCGTTCCCTTACGCGCTCCGCCCCCTCCTTAGCTAGCATGACTGCTTGGCAGAAAGAGGAGACGGCATCCCAGTCCCCCTCGCTCCGCACCATAGTCTGAACTAAAGCTGGACGCGAGAGATCGCTGTCACTGATCACAATGTAATGTTACTTACGCTATTTAATTTACAAAGGATTGTGTCACTTACATTACACCAGTCTTGTAGTGTGTCCTCGGACGTTTCGTATGAAAATAAATACCGTTCTGAGGTCTTAGTACTAGCTTGTTTCACGTTTAAAGTAAATGTTGGAGAGCCATGCTTCGATATGAATGGGCCGGCTCGACCGGAGTGATACCACGGCGGAGCAGAAAACCGACGTGAAACAACGCTTGCGTTGTGTTTCGCACGACCCAGGCGTATAACCTCCGGCAGGAGGCGTTTGGCCTCCCGAGGTTGGGGAGAATGGGCTTAAACGCAGCCCCCGCCCTCGCCAACTTTGGAGCCAAACGTCGCAAGTGCTCCACGAAGTTCCACCGACTGTCGAGGACGAGTCCCAGGTACTTCATCGTCGTCTCGACGCCGATGGTAACCCCTCCCGCCGTTATTTGGGACTCACCCGGAGGTGGCGCGTTCCCGCGGCCATGAAAACACATGGCCTCGGACTTGTGGAGCGCCATCTCAAGTCCCAAGTTTTAGATGCTTACCACTACTTGTTCAAAGTTGTCACGACATATTTTTTATAAATTTTTATTTTTTTACAGCAGCAACACCAACAACGGCGGGTCCAAAGTCCGGTCCGACGGACCCTCGGTTCACAGACGTGGTAAAACTGAACGACTACCTCCAGCACGGGAGACGGCCGCAGTTCTGGGAGGAGAATTATGTCAAAAGGGTAAATATTACTTAATAAACTTTCTTTTTTCCTTTCGCGTTCGGCACTTGTCGTGTGCGCTCGTACGTCTACTTACTTAACCTCTCTGTGCCAGATATTTTTTTCCATTGATAGTGATGCGTTACCACAACATCGACCTATTATCGATAGTGGGGCGTCATCAAGAATGGACAAATTTTTAAAGAAGTCGGATTCCACCGGAAACCTTAACTCCACCTCCAAAAGACCCGGTGAAGACCTTATTGGCCCTTGGCAATTCGCTAAGCGTCCTGCTGTCGCTCGGAATTCGGAGAAGTTCGACGAGTCGCGAAGTTTACCGCTGCAAAATAAATACAAAGACCTCCCTGTGGAAGATAAGAACGAATCTGAAACGAATGCTTGCTTTATCAATGCATCAACCGGAACAAAGAAGACGGGACATATCCCACCCCTGATTTTAGAGATACAGAAAGACTGGACCCATGAGTCTATTAAAAACTTAATCTCCCGGTTTACAAACAGATTCCATCTTCAGTACAGAGCTAACAACAAAGTTGCTGTTATCTGTTACACGTCTGACGTCCACCAGATTGTGAAGGAAGGGCTCCGAAAAGAAAACGCTGCTTTCCTTACATACACCCGAAAAGACGAAAAAGTCCCCAAAATGGTTATAAAAGGATTACCATCTTATGTCAAAGAAGACCTACCTGATGAACTTGAGAAACTAGGATTCCGAGGAATATCAGTCTCACAACTAAAGATTCAGGAAGTGAGTACATTAACTTGTCCACCTTATTTGGTCGTACTTCCGGTTGGAACAGATATTGCAAAGTTTCGTAAAATCAAATATTTATTTAATTGTGTAGTAAAAATTCAAAAATTTATGCCCAAGAAGTCTGGTGGTACTCAATGCTACAGATGCCAAAACTACGGCCATGCATCAAGAAATTGTAATATGCCCGCAAGGTGTGTTAAATGTACGGAACCCCATGCAACGAGTGAATGTCCTAAAAAAGACCGGACGGAACCCGCACAATGTTGTAATTGTGAACAAAATCACCCTGCAAACTACCATAAGTGCGAGTCTCGTCTTGCTTACTTGAAGCGTGTTCAAGCAAGACGTGAAAATCTACCTTCAAGACCCTCCGAATTAAGGTACTTATCTACGGATCCTGCGGTTGCCCTACCCATACCTAAGAAACCTTCTTATGCTGCTGTTGTTAAGACCCACACAGGTTATGATTCCATTGCAAAAGACGACCTGGAGATACCACCGGATGACCCAGTGACGAAAGAGATGTTAGAAATACTAATCTGTATTAAAAATCTTAAACCACAATTTTCTGCTTGCGAGTCCACACTGGACAAAGTAATGTTAATTTTATCCCATCTTGGTCACTATGTATAACTCCTATGAATTATCACTGCTATCATGGAATTCCGACGGATTACGATCTAAAATCTATGAACTACTTGATCTGGCGGTATGTACCCTATCTATTGATATTATAGCTGTCTGTGAAACTAAACTCACTAGTAACACTTTCATTAGTACACCAGGTTATATATGCTACCGTCAAGATAAACACCATAGTGGTCGAGGGCAAGGTGTAGCCATATTGGTCAACAATAGACTCGAGGCTCGGCAGGTTATTATTCCCAAAACCAAACATATTGAAGCAGTCGCTATTGGCTTGGTAATTGGAGGTAAGGACTACGTGTTCGTTTCGGCTTATCAATCTCCCAATTTAAGGCTTGAAGGTGGTGACTTGGACATTTTGTTTTCCCTGGGGCCCCATGTGGTTGTAATGGGTGACTTTAATGCCAACCATAAATACTGGAACAGTAGTTATACTAACACTCGAGGCAACACATTGTTCCATCATATGCTGAGCCATGACTACATTATACATTGTCCTGATACACCCACTCAAGTCAACTACCGAGCTGATCTTACTCCGACTAATCCTGACTTAGTTCTATCGTTGAATGTCAATAGTATGCATGATATTCAAGTTCTACCAGCCCTATCATCTAATCACTTTCCTGTACTGTTCACAATCAATGGTTTTTGTTCTCGCAAACCCATTCCTAAAGTCTACTCTTATGTTAACACTGATTGGAAAAAGTACCGTTCTTTTCTTGATCAGCATATATTTCTAAGCTCGAATGTGTTCAAGTCGGAGCCAGAAATTGACGAAGCCGTGGGCCACTTACATCAATGCCTCATTGAAGCCAGAGATAAATTTGTTACTGCTAAACAACCTATTAACACTAACAATGTCTTACCTAGCTACATTACAAAAATAATTAAATACAAAAACTTTTTAAGGCGTAAAGAACAAAAAGCACTAACTACAGACAAAAAACACTTAAGATCAGCTATCAATTATTTACAAAAACTTATCAAGTTACATATTATAAAATATCACGACACATTATGGAATACAAAACTTTCTAAAGTTGACAATCCTGGCAACGATTTATGGCGTCTGGTGAAAACTCTTAAGCCTAAATCTGACACAATACCTCCACTTGAAACTTCAGACGGCTTATTAACAGCGAACACGTCTGAGCAGTGTGAGGTCTTAGCAGATACTTTCGCGATGAACATGAACCTAACCCACGACTGGGTTAGCGATAGTGTTGAAACGGATGTTCAATCAGCTATAACCGTCTTAAATAATCATGTCATAGATAATTTTCATCAACTAGTCCGGCCTACTGAAGTCTGGAAAGTTGTACGTAAACTTAAGACTAGAAAGGCACCTGGTGATGATGGAATACACAATATAATGCTTAAAAACTTGTCACAAAAGTCTATTGTGTATATTACCAAAATATTTAATGGTTGTTTAAAGTTGGGTTATTTTCCTCATATGTGGAAAACTGCAAAAGTTATTGCTCTGAAAAAACCAGGAAAGGACATTGCATTGCCGACCAGCTATAGGCCCATCAGTCTTCTACCTGTCCTAGGTAAACTTTTCGAGGTATTGATATATGATCGGTTGCGGCGATCCTCAGAACAGCTTATTCGGAACGAGCAATTTGGCTTTCGTTCATCTCACTCTACGGTGCAACAATTGGCCAGAGTTTCCGAACATATCTCTTATCATCTTAATCATAAACAGTCTACCGGCATGTTCCTTCTTGATATCGAAAAAGCTTTCGATACTGTCTGGCATGATGGCTTGTTATACAAGCTCATTTCTTTCGGAATTTCATTGAATTTAGTAAAACTGATTCAGTCCTACCTCAGTGATCGCAAGTTCGTGGTACATATTGGCTCTAATAGGTCATCACCCCGGGTGATGATGGCTGGGGTACCGCAGGGATCGGTGCTTGGTCCTTACCTCTTTGTCCTGTATGTTAATGACTTGCCTGTGCAAGTCCGTACCCACTTGGCCTGTTTTGCTGATGATACAGCGTCTTATACTTCAGATAGCGACGTTGACATTATCATTAGCCGACTTCAGATGTCTCTTGAATTACTCCAGTCTTACTTCAATAAATGGAAGCTCAAATTGAATGAATCTAAAACTGAAGCCATTCTTTTTACACGTCAACGTAACGTCCCTAAAAGAAATTTAAATATTTCTGGTCAGTCCATTCCTTGGAGTGCAGCAGTTCGCTACCTGGGTATCACGCTGGACAAAAGGTTAAACTGGACTAAACACATAGCAAAATTACGTGTCAAGGGAGCACAAGCACTAGGTTCCCTAAGCCCTATACTCAACCGTAAGAGCAGACTCAGCCCTAAGACAAAAATTAGACTATACACAACCTTAATTAGACCTTGCATCACCTATTCATGTCCAGTATGGAGCAATACTTGTGAATCAAATTATAAACATTTACAGATTCTACAAAATAAAGCTGTTAAAATCGCTTATAATACTCCATTTTTGACTAATCTCCAAATACTTCACTCAAAAATTAATTTACCAAACATCACACAATATATTTTAAAACTAACTCGCAAATTTTACAGTAAAAATAAATGTCATTATAATACTTTGATTGCCGACATAGGGCGAAAAGATTTGAATGATTTGCATGGTATCGATAGATATGGTACATACAAGCTCCCACATCACTACGTTTTGTTCGCACACAAAACTGATACCATCGTAGCATGAACCACGCACTGCGCCAGCGCTGCCCCGCTCTCGTCACTAAACCGTGAGGAGGCGCGGGCGCGGGGGCTCAGTCGCTGTGGAAACTTGGTGCGGCTACCTGCGTTGCCACTGTTCGCAACATTTTATGTATGCGCGTAATTAATGTATTTTTACCCTCGAACTATAATAATGGAATCATTACAATGATTTCATATGTATAACATTATTAAGTTATCATAATATCAAGCATACATTACCTATTATTGTTTTAAAATACTTAAAAAGGCTTACACAGCCTGTAAAAGTGTTGTTATTTGAAGACGGAATTGTGACTTAGTATAGTAAGTTTTTCAATTTGTGTACACCTATTTATTTTAATAAAGAATTTTATAAAACAAACTTAATAAACTGGATACCAATATTACCAAATAAAAATGTACTATAGTCAGGATCTTTATTGGCAAAAAAATACTATACCATCTTCTTGAGCGGAGTTCATATGTATATAGCTGTACTAGAGTTGCGAATAACAGTTCAATAAGATGAAAAGAGAGATACGTATCTTTCTTGTCCGACGAACTATATCTTTCATCTAGTTCACTAGTTCATCTAGTTCAATTTATGACCAGTATAAAATGACCTATCATTGTATGGTACGCTTATATGATTCGAGGTCAACAGATATTGGTTTCTATACTTGTTAAGACACGTCATCTGGACAAAATTATGGAAAACGGTACCGTATTGTTTGTTACGTAAAGTATATTATTGCTTGTTCAGCAACGCAAGCGATGCATATCTATTGTCTCACATCATTTCGTAAATAAAAACAAGAGAGCCGATAGGTGCGCTATCGGCTCGACGCTCGTGCTCGATCGGTTCTTGTCGGTGTCGTGATTCATAGTTCCTTCTCGTTCAGTTCAGAAACGAAACGAACGATCGTCGCGTCGTTCGGTAGTAGTTCTTGAGTCAAAATAAGATGCGAATCACCAAGTGAACTAGTGAACTAGAGATACAGTCTGTATGAAACTGAACGAAAGATAAGTTGCTGCTTTCCTAATGAACTAGTTCATTTTTGTCTTTCGTTCACGAACTACCTGTAGCATGTACTTATGTATGTATGTATATTAAATAATCAACTTTACCTTTGATCGATTACTTATGTTACGGAATTTGTTTATATAAATAACTTGTCCTAGAATTAGTATTATTGTGAGTGCTCCTCTCGCCTGTGATACAGCATATTCTTCCTAGTACAGGCATTAAACCTAGTGTGATCTCTGATTTTAAATTAAGATGTTTATCTGTAATATGACCAATTTCTTATAATTAATAAAGATTTATTATTATTTATTATGGCCCACTGTTATCTAAACGATGTTGTTTTGTTTCCGACAACGACGCGAACGAAGTCGCGGGTACAGCTAGTTACTTAATAAACAGTATAACTGCCTCGTTAGCAGAGTGATTGTAATTGCGACTGCCGGGCAAGGGGTGTCGGGTTCGATGCCCGGGTCGGGCTTGCCCGACCCGGGCATCCTTATATACCTTGGTATACCTTATATACCTTAGATACCTTGGTATCACTGGGTTTTAAAAAAAATCTCAGTAGTAACACGGAGTCTGGAATTGTGCCCAGTATATGGCAATAGGCTCAGCAAATGGGACTCATAACATAAATACTGAAAAGTGGGTGTTACATTGTACATTGGCATTAAGGCATTAAGTAAATTATGTAGACCTCTGCCTACCCCTTTGGGGATAAAAGGCATGATATTATGTTATGTAAAGATTATAAAATTGAAGTTTTGTTTGGTTGAACGGTAGTGTCCGGAATTACTAATTAAAAAAAAACATTTCCCCATACTAGGATTTTCTCATGTGTCGTGGGTGCGTTTACAAAAATACAAGTTCACATACACATGACACCCAGACTCGAAACAACAATTTTTGGATCACACAAAAGTTACTCCGTGCTGGAATCGAACCCGGTACACGTTGCGCGGTTGTCCAGCCAACGTGCCAACCGTGCAGTCCGCATTTATCTGCTTAGCCTTGTACTTAATATATGACTGACCACCCATCCAAAACCCGACCTCAATTACTCAACTTAACTTTCTACCTGCAGGTGATGGAAGCGGTTCGCCTGAAAGAGTTGGAGATGAAGCAGGCGGCTGAGATACTGGGAGTGAGCTACGGCACTCTGTACGGGAGGTACCGGGACGTGTACGGCTGTATTAATCGACCCTACCGGTGAGTTATACGGGCGAATTTGAACCTTATTGCAATTTTAGTTATAGGCCCATAGCCCATAAAAAAAACCCATAGCCTTAATTGGGATGATGACAGGGTATGAAAATTAAAAAATCTAATTAGTCCGTAATTTTGGTAATGAAAAAATATTAGACACGTATTTTTTTATTTTGTCGTATAAGAAAACAATACTTAGATAAAACGAATCAAAGTTTAGGAGTGGGGGTTAAAACGTCATATATATAAAATGTTCATAGAAGTGACGTCACGCGACATTTCAAATCAATATATCGTCGAAAGTATTCGTTTCCGTAAGAAAATAAAAAATACGTGTCTAATGATTTAAAATAATCTACCAGACGGACATTAAAATAAAATTAGGCATCTACCCTATTCATTCTGTCTCCTGCAGTAATTCACCGAGGGAAGTGAAAACTATTGTTTTTTTCTTCTCCTCTTATAATATCTTCTGATTCATTTCGTTGCGGGAACCAAGACAGTTATTCATGGCCCTGGGAAGCGCCGGGTTTCAATGTTCCGGTGTTTTCATGGTTGTATCTGCTGTACATCCTGGCTTACAGGAGTTGCAGACGGTTTTGGGAGGATGTGGCGGGATTGACCCTAAAAAAAAATGGCCCATAGCATTAGGCGTTTTTTAACGCGCATGTAACGCACGTCTTCTGCGCCGTAATCGTTGATTGTTGCGTTTGCATAGATAATACAAGCACGCGCATGAAGCGAGTGTACGCACATTTTGAATAGTCGTGTGACGATACATGACATATGTCAAATGACAGTTGACGCACATAGACTATCGGTACTTCCCTTCATCAAAAATAAATTATTTCGACTGTTCAATACAATAAAATATTAAAAACTAATCACACTTTCATTAATTCATTTTATGACCAACTTAATTTTAGTATTTATGCAGCAAATTTTTAAGAAATATGTATGCTGTTTGACACTAACAAAACGTGACGTCACAATACACAATCTCGTACAAAACTCATAGAAAACTCTCGTTTTTGACAGTTCGAAAAATGTATTGAATTTGATTAGTTGGCAATTGTACCCAATTCAACGGATGACGTCACAAAATCCTACATCGCACATGCATTAACACGGTCCTCCTTTTCCGATCGGATCTTAGGGATCTCTACTCTGTTCTTTAAAGTTGTGTATTGTGTTACAAGTGACTATAGATATCCCAAAAACCCGCAGATATCAGATTAAAATAATCTTATATCTTACTAGCTACTTCCGCGCGGTTTCACACGCTCTGCTTAGCTCCTATTGGTCGTAGCGTGATGTTTTATAGCCTATAGCCATCCTCGATAAATGCACTAACCAACACAAAAATAATTATTCAAATCTAATATATAAATAATAAATATAATAAAAATATGCATGTGTTATACATATAAACCTTCCTTAAGAATCACTCTATCTATTAAAAAAAGTCGCGGAGCACTTAACGGGTTACCGGGGCTCCGGCTCGACGTGCAAGAGTAGGAACGGGGTGGTTTTTAGTCAGTAAGAGTCTGACACTCCCTCCCGCCTCACCCAGGCAGGAGAAGATATTCGATGATTTTCCCCCCTTAAAAAAAAACCGCATCAAAATCCGTTGCATAGTTTTAAAGATCTAAGCATACATAGGGACAGACAGACGGCGGATAGCGACTTTGTTTTATACTATGTAGTGAAAAACCAACCACGGAATACATAATGAACTAACATTATGATTTCAGAATAATAAACGGTAGTTCATCCCCACATCTGACCCCCAGGGCGGTGAGAGACTTCTGGCAAGCCAAGGGTCCCTCCGAGGTCCTCGACAGGCTCCAGCGAGGCGAGATGACGCTGGACGCTGCGGCCCAGTCTCTTGGTGTCAGCATCGCCAATTTAGCTGCTCATTTAGCTGATTTCGGATTGCCGGAGAAAGGTTTGTTAACTATTAAAAAGGTACTTTTACTAATGGTACTTCAAGTTGCCTTTAGGCTTAAGTAATTTTTTTATGGGATAAGCCAGTAAACGAGCAGATGGGTCACCTGATGGTAAGCATCGGCGTCGCCCATGGACACCTGGAACACCAGAGGCGTTACAAGTGCGTTACCGGCCTATTGGAATTAGGATTAGGATTGTTAGGGATTCAGGGATTGGGGAAAGGGAGGGGGGGGGGGGGGTAATTGGGCATCCGGTAACCTCACTCACACGACGAAACACAACACAACGTTGTTTCACGTCGGTCTTCTGTGAGGCCGTGGTATCACTCCGGTCGAGCCGGCCCATTCATGCCGAAGCATGGCTCTCCCACACTAAAAAAAGTCATTTTGTCTCCTGCATTAAATTCCCTGAGGTAAGTGGAAACTATCGCTTTTGTCTTCTTCTCCTTCTGATTTATTTCGTTGCGAAACCCAAGACAGTAGTAAGGGAGTAAGGGATCGTACAGCAGTGGACATCTTTCGGCTGTTGAGGATGATGATGATGATGATCCAAGACAGTTACTCGTGTCCCTGGGACGCGCCGGACTTCAGTGTTCCGGTGTTTTCATGGTTGTATCTACTGTAGATCCTGGTGCACAGGAGTTGCAGCGGTTTACGATGTTATAGCGGGCTTGTCCCAATAAAAAAAAAAAGAAATATATATGAGCTCATCTTCGCATAGACAGAGACTATGAAACGCCAATTGCTACGATTCTTAAATACCTCTTTCGCTTCATCAACAGTCATCAATCTTGTTATGCATACTCGTCGGTTAAGGGTACTTTTAATTTGGCCATTCTTTAATATATCGCCAATCTGGTCGATATATGATCGTCCAGCCCTTTACCGACAGCCCCATTCATATCCGCTTATTTAATGAGGTAATAATAAAAATAATTTAAGATGGATGATACAGATGTCAGTTATCCTTGAAACGGCATGTATTGTGAGGAGGTTTCTGTCTCTGGAGCCCTAACCAACGGTAGCTTGGACCATGCTCCCGTTACTAGTCGGCATACAATTTTTTTTTTTTTTTAAGTAGCAAGCGTGATTATTGCTCTAACCTTCTCCATGTGAGAAGAGGCTTTGCTCAGCAGTGGGCATTTATAAGCTGTTGATGATGATGATGATGATAATGATTTAAAAAATTAATTTTAGGGGATTTTAAATGCAAAATATAATTTGTTTTGTCCAGAATTCGAGCCGATCCCGATAGAGATGGACCCGTCCCTGAAGGTCCGGTCGCGTACGTACAGCGCGAGCGGTGCGTCCGTCAAGTTACGGAAGCCGCCGCCTCCCCCCACTGCCACGGCCACCACGCCCCCCGCCGCGCCCGGGGACAAGGTACGACTGTCTACTTTTCTTTAAACTGTCAAACACCTCGAGGACACCGGTGACCGCAACCTATTGTTCTTTAATTGTATCTATAAAACCGGTACTCGACGTGTTAATTGTGACTATAATGACGGTACTCAAAGTTAATAAGAATAAGGGATATCGCACGCAATAACGGCATGACTCCAGCACAGAGTTTTTTTTGTTTTTTCAAAGTCAAGGTAAAAGCATTTATTTCAATTAAACCATAGTTTGGTACTTTTGAAACGTCAACAAATACAAAATAAATAATATTCTGTCAGTCTGTCCGTCAGTGAAGCTAGGTGAAACTAGGTGGTAGTTCCAAAATGTAGATTCGAATGGAGAAGAACGAGTAAGAAACTCCATAAAGAAACTCCATTTGAAAAGAATTATTTTATGTATTCCGTTTAAACTGCCTCGTTGGCCAAATGGTCGTAAGTGCGACTGCAGAGCAAGGTGTCTCGGGTTAATTCCCGGGTCGGGTAAAATATTACTGAGGTTTTAAAAAATTGTCAGTAGTAGTTCGGAGTTTCGAATTATGCCCGGTATATGGCAATAGGCTCATGCCTTTAACACGGCCACGCATGACATCACGCCTTTTATTGAAGACAGAGGTGCACATTACGGCACTTAATGCCACTGTACAATGTAATACCCACTTTTCACTATTTATGTTATGAGTCCCATGTAATAGGGGGTGAGCCTATTGCCATACACCGGCCACATTTTCAGACTCCGTGCTACTACTGAGATTTTTAAAAAACCCCGTAATACTTTGCCCGGACAGGGAATCGAACCCGAGACCCCTTGCCCGGCAGTGGCACTTGCGACCACTCGGCTAATGAGATAGTCAGTTATGTTTTGCTATAAAATATAATAATTGTTGTAGCCTATAAAGAAGATAGTGATCGGCTCAGTGTCGGACGAGGAGACGATCCCCGCCACGGTGATATCTACACACGACGTCAAACAGACGCCCGCGCCCACTGCTACTACTACTTGTAAGTAAACAGTACTTTTTCAATAACACTTACTTCCTTACTAATATTATTTATGAATTGTAAAGTGAGTTTGTTTGTTTGTTTGTTCACGCCGTACGTACTGAACCGAATGCTTTGAATTTTTGCAGACGTAAAGTTAGAAGTCTGGATTAAACAATAGGGTACTTTTTATCACGGAAAAATTTGATATTCCCGACGGAAAACAAAAGTATTGATATAGATGGCGCTGTGTGTATTGGTATATGTCACATAGGTTACTTTTTATCCTTTTGTGATGCGAGCGAAGCCGCGGGTAAAAGCTAGTATAATTATAAATCATTTAGTTCAGACTAATTGGTAAAGAGATTTATAAACCATGTTAGTGTAATAAAATTTAACTATGGGAGAGCCAAGTCGGCACGAATGGGCCGTCTCGACCGGAGTGATACCACGGCCTCACAGAAAACCGACGTGAAGCAACGCTTGCGTTGTGTTTCGTCGTGTGAGTCCTCACCCTCCTCCCTAGTATCCCGAATCCCCGAATACTCCACAATCCTAAAATTCCCAATTCCCAAAAGGCTGGTAACGCACTTGTAACGCCTTGGTATTTCGAGTGTCCATGGGCGGCGCCGATCACTTACCATCAGGTGATCCGAATGCTCGTTTACCGGCTTCCAATAAAAAAAAAATAACATATATTTTTTTCTTTTCTAATAATATCTTCTGATTCACTTCGTTGCGGGAACCAAGACAGTTACTCATATCCCTGGGACGCGCCGGACTTCAGTGTTCCGGTGTTCTCATGGTTGTATCTACTGTGATCCTGGTGCACAGGAGTTGCAGCGGTTTTGGGAGGTTGTAACGGGCTTGTGTTCAATAAACAACAATGTTTTTGTAAACCTTACTTATATGTAACTAGCTTTTACCCGCGGCTTCACTCGCGTCACAAAAAGGTAAAAAGTAGCTTAAGTGACATATACCAATACACACAGCGCCATCTATACCAATACTTTTGTTTTCCCTCGGGAACATCAAATTTTTCCGGGATAAAAAGTACCCTATTATTTAATCCGGACTTCTAACTTTACGTCTGCAAAAATTCAAAGTAATCGGTTTAGTAGTTACGGCGTGAAAGTGGAACAAACAAACAAACAAACTCACTTTACGATTTATAATATTATATAGTAAGGATTTAATTTTAATGAAGTATCTTTACGTTACCAATTAACAGCTAGCATAGGAGCATATTTTTTTATTACTTAAGTCCAACAACTAATCCACAGCAGGCAAATGGCCAACAATAAGAGTGGCGAGCTTAGACTCACTACGTGGGGGCGAAGTCCCTGCGCCCCCCGCCCCCGCGCCGCCGCCCCCCGCGTCGCCCTCCGCCCTCATGCGGACAAGGCCCGACCTCACCATCGTCGCAGCCCGCCGCCCCGACCATAAACAAGACGAGGACGACACTACGTGATGTATAAATAATAATTATTGTTATAATGTCTAGTAATTATTAATTAGACCCGCGCCCTTGTGATTTATACTCTGGGCACTTTTCCCGCCGTACTCATGGGGAAATACTCAAACTCCACTCAATTATAAGACGCTCTCAAGTATAGTACTGTCTTTCATTATAACTTATCTAAATTAATTATTATGTGTCCGCATCGTATCGCGGAATGCCGCTCATGAACATGAGCCTCTAGTACGACTTGAAACTAGTCGAGTTCCTCGACAAATAGTTACGGGAGTAAGCCTAAAAACATAATAATTAATTAATAGTTCTGTCTCAACAAATTCTTTGTATAATGACAGAGATAGCACGATGTTAAGTGCAACTTATAATTGTGTAGCCTTTTTAAGGCATTTAATGATTACTTAAACTGGTATTAGATATTTTGCTCAGTCAACAATACATTCAAATATTAAAAAATCAATTAATGAAAGTACACACTTTATATTTGACGTCAAAAAAACTTGACGTCATCACATCAACAGTCTATAAGTGGCTACTGCTGACCAAAGGCCTCCTCTCACACGGATTACGTATTGAGCATTTATCACCACGGTTGCTCAATGCGGGTTGGCGATTTCAAACTAAAATTTAGAAATTATAAGCCCAGCAGCTGTAGCCAAATACCATTTAGCGCTTGTCTACATGTAGAATAGAAAACTAAATTATATGGAATTGACGTAAATTTTGACACTTGTCAGTGTCATCCCCATACATTTAGTTTTCTACTCTCTCTGTAGACAAGCGCTAAAGTGGCGTTTGGCTAAAGGCACGGCGGTTTCCTCACGATGTTTTCCTTCACCGTTTGTCAGTGGTGTCTAAATAATACTAATGAAGAGTTTAAGCGATCATGAAATGTATGTGAGTGCGGCAGGTAATTGTTTTATTTCCGTTCATTCATGCGCAATTATGATGTCATTTTGACGTTGATACATTTGTATTTGACGTCTTGATAGAATTGTATCGATATTTTGATACCAACGTGGTACGATTATGGTACTTCTGTGACGTCATCATTGTCAATTGACCATCATAAGTGTTTTTTCAGAGCCGTATTTAGGCAAACTTGGTAAGCCTAGCGCGCCAGCAGCTGGAGCCAAATGCCATTCAGCGCTTGTCTACATGTAGAATAGAAAACCAAATTATATAGAATTGACGTAAATTTTGACACTTGTCAGTATCATCCCCGCTGTATAAAGTGGCGTTTGGCTAAAGGCACAGTGCTTTTAGTCAAAAGCCACTTTAGCGCTTGTCTACAGCGAGAGTAGAAATCAAAATGTATGGGGATGACAGTGACAAGTGTCAAAATTTACGTCAATTCCATATAATTTGGTTTTCTATTCTACATGTAGACAAGTGTTAAATGGTATTCGGCTACAGCTGCAGGTTATAGAGAGGTGCTGCTAGACCCGCATGCCTATAAAGTGACGATGGCATCAAAAAATTAAAGGCGTATTTTAGGTGCTTGTCTTGGGCGCGCTCTACCTATGTTTAATCTGTCTCAGATTGTGACACTATTATGATGGCAATCGGGGCTAACGTTTTTTGCTCACCACACCAGGCGCCAATTTAGGAAGGGATTCTAGGACGACACCGATCCATGGTAGATGTCCCACCCACACGCACGAAGCGCTTCGCATCAAGTTTCCTTGTGCGTACTGCTAAGGAGTGGAATTCTTTGCCAGAGACTGTGTTTCCTGAAGGGTATCTTGCATAGGGTACTTATATGCGACGACGTGCTTCATCGTAGACCGCATCATCGCTTACCACCAGGCGAGATAGTGGTGAAACGTCGGCCCATCAAATATATGTAGTAGGGGTATTTATGTCCAATCACAGTAGCTGTCAAATATTAAACGTCCAATGCTGTAACACTCACTATTGGACAAAGAACTAGAGGAGCACACTGGCGCCACTGGTGAGCAGAAATACGGTAAACCCCATTGTAAAGTCATTATGACACCGTTACGTTGTCATTCTATAACGCCATTGTTGGCATGAATTAGTAGACTAGTAAAATTTACAAAATATACCTATCAGAGGCTGATTGATGTAAATATAATTAATATTTTGAAATGTTAAATAGTTGATTTAACGTTTTTCTCTCGAGTAGTTATTAACATTATTTTGTTTTATATGTAAATTAGTTATGATAAGTATTATAAATATATGATTTTAAACTTATATATTATAATATATGTTAAACTTAAAGGCGCGGGTCAATCCTAAATAATTTAAAAACTAAGCTACGACCAAACCTTTATAAATATAAATATTTAGTAAAAAATATATATTATATATATAACTTTTTTCATAAAACTGAAAAACTTGTTATAATGTCGACTTTATTTAATTTTAAAAGTAATTAAGACCACTTCAAATCTCAGAAATATAAGTACCTACCTAATATATTATTGTAATATAATATATAAAAAACAATAACACACAGAAATAATCATTCTTTTATATTTCAATATTCATTAAAATCATATATTTTTATCCTATTACATGGGACTCAAAACAGAAATAGTGAAAACTGGGTGTGACATTGTACAGTGGCATTAAGTGCCGCAATGTGCACCTCTGCCTACCCCCTATCCAAAACCATGATGTTATGTTATAATTCAATAATTATTCAATGTCAAAACTATACAACCCATAACGTTGCTGTTAAAACAGCATAGAGGTCAATATCCACGCAATACGGATGCAATGGACGCTAGTGTTGGAATTCAAGAGTATGAAATTTCACAATACCAATGTCGATCGATCGGAATTGGATTCAAGAGTAAGCCCCCAGAGTTTTGAACGCGTATTTATTTTGATTACTTTAAAAATGGAACGTTTTTGTACTACTCTCTGATTGGTTGGTTCATCGTCACCTGTCACCTCTATTTATATTTTTTATTATTTTACAAATTTTTTTTAGTTATCATGTTTTTAGTTTATCTGTGTTAATAATGTTACTCTTAAAAAATAAGACTATGTACATTCACTCTTTCTAAAACGCTGTCAAAATATATGTAAAATTTTCACATTCATTAGAAAAATAACAATATTCTTCACTTTCACCCATACCATGATTTTTTGGATATTAAAATATAAAAGAATGACTCGGAACTAGTTATAATATCTTTATTTAGTTTAATTTACTGACTAAGGCTGTTGTTTTAAATCTATATATTATGTAATAGTATAATTATTATACTACTTTAGTTTATACAATAGATTAGTTTAAACACTTATTAAAAAGTAGCTCTCAGTAAACCTGTTTCGTAGATACTCGCACATATTATGAACACACATATACAGGGTGTAAACGGAACGCTCCCGAAAAACGCTGATAGATTATGGTCAAAAACCAGTTTTATTTTTTATAATAACTATCGTGAGACATACTAAATTAAGTAAAAACGCGGGTTACTCACGTGAATATGTGTTGCCACCTGCGCTGCGAGCCCAACGCGCCCTCTGTCGGTCACTACGAGCGTTTGCTTCCAACTCCGGCGGCGCGTTGGACGATGTTAAAGCGCACGGTACGTTCACCAGCGGTGCGGGTCGTGGGTTCGATTTGTGCCGAACCCGGAATCGAACCCACGACCCGCACCGCTGGTGAACGTACCGTGCGCTTGAGCTTTTCTCAGTATATTCACGTGAGTAACCCGCGTTTTTACTTAATTTAGTTTTATTTTCATGAAAGTAAGGAATTAAATGTTTCCTTTATGTAATAATTGTTGTAATTAACCGCTCAAGGCTGACGTCGTATGAATAACATGTAAAAAACAACGATTAAAATTTTAAAAACTATTATTTTAGTCGGCGTTTTTCGGGAGCGTTCCGTTTACACCCTGTATATATATTAAAAAAAACAATTTAAAACAACAGCCTATGACGGGAAGACAGATAAAAACAGGATATACATTTCCATAGAATAAAAAGCAAATGAGTATTATATAAAAAACTCATAATTTAGAATGTAAAGTTTAATATTATTATTATTATACATAGTTGTAATATATAATCAATTTTTTTATTAATATTCACGGGGATTGGGGATAAAGTTTGAACTGAAAGGTTTTTAGCATGTGGCACTATACAATTGGGTTTAAAATTTCTACGGTTTTAAAATAACAGTCTGCTAAGTCATTGGGTACTTTCCCTAATCAAAATGATATTATTTCGACTGTTCAATACAATAAAATATGAATAAATAATCACACTTTCATTATGTAATTGATTTTATGAACAACTTAATTTTACTATTTTTCCAGCAATATTTTACGAAATAAGTATGCTGTTTGACGCTAAAAAACGTGACGTCACAATATACAATCTCGTACAAAATTCATAGAAAACTCTCGTTTTTGACAGTTCGAAAAAAGTATTGAATTTGATTAGTTGGCAAGTACCTAATTCTGTAACTGTCGCTTCGAGCTCGATCGTATTCTCGCCCGTCATTGGTGGAGATTTTTCTCACAGCAGCATAATTATGGCGGACCGCGATCAAATTCACTTCAAGCATTCAATTTGAAAGGTATAGAATAGCTTACGGTGTCCGCATACCATGAGACGTGTCTTAAGCTTCGTTACTTACTAGTAGTATAAAAATATTTAAGTATTGTTTTTTTTTTTTTAAAAATCAAACACTATCTATGTAATTTACTTTATTTTTTCAAAAAGTGAACTAAATTCTTTCTTATTTTTTATAAGACTGAGTTCAAAATCGTATGCACCATACAGTCTTTTCATATCTTGAATTGCTGTAGCAAATTTATCGTTATTCTTAACAAAATTGAGTTTAAAATCGCGTGTTCTAAGACTTCAGTTCAAATTTTCAGTCCTTTAACTCCTATAGGTTTAGATTTATAAATATATAAAGTAGAGGACTATATAGACATATATAGAACAGACATATACTTATATATTTTTTATCAACTGCTATATATTAGAAATATAATGAC